CATGATTTAGGAAAATAAATACAAATTTGATCTGTTTTAGCAAATCTGAACTCTCTCTCTCTCTCTCTCTCTCTCTCTCTCTATATATATATATATATAGAATGAACCCACAACCTTTGGGTTATGAGTCCGACTCTCTAACCATTAGGCCACAACTTCCCTCAACCAAAGACAAAGACAACCCAACTGCAGATTGATTGATATTACTTGGAATTGGAATGCACAATAAAAAAAACATGATTTAGGAAAATAAATACAAATTTGATCTGTTTTAGCAATCTCTCTCTCTCTCTCTCTCTCTCTCTCTCTCTCTCTCTATATATATATATATACAGTATATAACAAAATCAATATAAAAATAAAATGTTTCAAATGTATTTGAAACAAATAAAATGCATGTTTTCTATTTAGGGTTTTATAAACAAATATAATAAATATCAAATATGTATCTTTTTGTTTCACACTGTTGTTTTTATAACCCAACACGGCAGAAAGAAAAAAAATAAAATGAGAATAAAAAGAGGCAAAATGTGCAAAGTGTAAAATCCTTGTAGTTATTGCAAATAAACACAATCAGGCCCTTATTTAATAACTGCAACAGGCCTACTGCCTACTGCTTTGCTTAAATTCAATTGCAGATTTGCTTGTGTGATTAGTCACCTAATATGTCTGTCATATTAGTGTCTTATTGAATAATCAGCTAGTTTCAAGCCGAATTCACAATATAAAATACTATTTCTGCCATTTATAGATGTGGCAAAAGGGTAATTCCACGAAATTGGTGCCTTTTGCATCCCTAAGAAATAATCAAACATAGATTTAATATAACAACGGATAAATTTGCAATTTAAAAACATAACGATACTACGTATTCTTTCATCAATGTTAAATGGAAAAAAAGTCAATTAAATATTATTTTAAATAATTTAAATAGCATTTATGCTGATAAGGGTAAGGTTTTTGGCCTGTCCTTCACTATGATTTTTCTTTTTCAGCAGGACTTTTAATATGCAATATGAAGGCAAAATTATATAAAAATTGCATTTGCATATTATTTTAAATATAGTCTCATTGTTAAGCAATGTTTTTAGCACGAGTATGCCTTTTTTTCTATAAAAGTTTAACCTTTTATTGGTGTCCCCTGATTTCATGTCAGCCCTATTACACTCATCAAAAAACCCTTGTAAAATAATGTACATTCAAGTGACATCACTTCTATGAGGCTACATGATCTCTCAACCAGGATTTCTACACTTGAAACACAAGCATGTTTCTCTCTCAGTTCTACAATGTTCTATTTTTGATGATTTATGAGATGATGCTTGGCTGAGGAGGGGGTGGCGGGGGGGCATCATGCAGTGTCAATACTGTTACCATTTTTAAAATGTAAATTTAAACAATTATTTATTACATTTAATATAATCAACATCTACAAGTACAACATGTGCTTTTGTGAACTTCAATATTAGCTAGCAAATTTGTTTGAAATTGTCAAACCTTTTACCTTTTACCTTTACCTTTCAGGGTAACAGGTTTTGGGTAAGAGGGATTGCATAGTTTAGGTGTCACCCTATTTTTAAGGTTTGTCTGTATAAAAATCCAAACATTTTTAAAGGTCACCCTGGGTGTAATTTTAAGCTAATGCCTATACCATTCAGTGGCATATGAGTTTGAATTACATTTTAGTTGGTATTGTTACTCTTACTGTTGTTGTTAATGACCAGGATAGGATGATCAGTCTCAATAAAACTCTTTTTTTTTTTCAATAACTCATTGTCAATAATGAATCTTTGTAAATTAAATTACAAACAAGAGCAGCAAGGTGACTGCAGACCTTCACCCCAGTCTTGCAATGTTCAAGAAATTCAGATGCAATGTTTTCAGGTTTAAGATGATCACAGAAAGATCAAGATCTGATCATCTTCCCTACCTAATAATTGAACCAGATCAGTATTCTGTGAGGGGACACAGACAAACAGATAGGAGCATTATCTCATTACAATACTCTTAAAACATTATGTAATGTGCTAATTCAACAATGAACTGACTTAAACTGAAAAATTTACTGTTTACTATTGTCATACAACTATGCTAAGTAAGTGCAAAACAATCTAATGCGCAGCATGCTGAACAATGTCCTGTCATCCCTGTCACTCTGGTCAGTCCTGTGACTATGACGTCAATACTGTTACTGTCATTAATTTAATAAAAATAGTAAAAATAATGATATTTGATACAGCCTTCCAGGTTTTTCCATTGTAACTTTAACTATATTTTATTTTGGACAAAGCACTTTTTTTGACTCTCTTGTAAAAAAATACATGTTTTTCTTAATTGGCATGTGGTCACCCTCCAAAATTAGGATGTTCTTGGTCATCTGAATGGCAAATATAAAAACATTTGACAAAAAATCCAAAATTTGAAACAATCCCAGTGAAAAGAGGAACTAAAATGCTGCTCATATACGTGTATGTGAAAACTGTCACATACTTCTAATTAAACTATAGTAATGCTTGTGTTGGTAACAGGATTGACAAAAATACCAAAACATGAGGTAGAAAAATAGTCATAAAACAATAAATTACATAGCCTGAGATGGCACAATACAATTTCTTGTCATTTTAAGGTGTTTTCATTTCATGCATTTTTAAAAAATGTTGATTTATTTTTTTAATTTTTCCAAGTGGAAAAGGCACAGATTTCGTGGAATGACCGATAAACATTAAGAGTAATGTAGCAGTATATTTGTTTGAATTCAGCATCATTCTTGCGACTCAATACTAATTATGGTCAACATGCAGTCCACTTGAATAGTTAACCACTTGTTTTCTATTCTTCAAAACCTTTGAAGAATGTAATGATTGCAATACACTTGAACCAAACAAATATTTCTTGTTTGAAGTGACAATACAACCAGCCATCGTTGAAAAGTAAACAATAGCCCACTGCATGACTTTTAATCTAACAGGCTCCACTTCTCAGGCATGAAAAAACACACAGCAACTTTCAAATTAATCATCGTAATGTGGACGGTTGACTCTAAACTCATTTCCTAAGGCAACCTAGAGCCTCACACTCCACATCCTCCTGGGAGCATTTAGGGCTCTTGAAATCTCATCTTTAAATTATACTTTATGTCAGGGTGGCTGTGTTAAGGCTGCGCAATGCTGGAGCTGTTAGCCTGATTAACGCTTCATCGGATTGCGTCCTTGACAGTGTGTTTGTGGGTTTGAGAGAAGTGGACGACGTGTGTGTCCGGTGATTAAACAAAACTAAGTCAGCATAGAGGATTATTCACACTTTCACAATAAAATACACGTGATTAATTGCAGCCCTCTTTATCTACTTCTCTCTGCTTTTTGTCATTTTCTAGTTAAAATCCAAGACATCCTTCACCCAAATATCTCAGACAATGTAAATCAAAGCAGCTTTAACAAATGACAATCCTCGTCATTCCTAAATAATGTTTTAGCAGATAGGTTGATTACAAGGTCATTTTATAACTACATATTGAGGTCAACAATCTCCAGCAATGCACACTGTTGTCAGTATGAGAAGTAAGCTGTGTTGTTGAAAGCATGAGATTCTTCAATTTATGCATCATTATATTTGCTTTGAGCGTTTTTCTATGCATCAGTTAACTCTGAACGCACATCCTGTAGCAAAATAAATACACCATTAATTATTCACGCCCATTTCTGTCAGAAATTATATTGATAATCAGTATTGTTTTCTTGTTTTCCTGTAAAATAAATAATCTAAAACCTAATTTTTTATGCACTGATAAACTTACTGCAGCAGAATAAATACAAAAATAACTAAAAATACACTACTGGTCAAAAGTTTGGAATTTTGGACTTATATAATGTGAAATTTCATTACAATTTTAAATAATATATATCATTTCCATTAGAATAATTTTCTATTTTAATATATTTTTAATTTATTCCTGTGATGCTAATGCTGAATTTTCAGCAGTCATTACTCCAGTTTTCAGAGTCACATGATCCTTCAGAAATCATTCTAATATGCTGATTTGCCGCTCATTAATTATTCATTATTATTAGTACTTAATTATTAGTAATAGTTCTTATAGTTATGTCAAACAGTTTTTGCTGCTTCATATTTTTGAGTAAATCATGATACATTTTTCAAGATTGCTTGATGAATAGAAAGTTAAAAAGAATAGCATTTATTTGAAATAGTCTATATTTACCATTTATTTGAAATTGTTTCGTAACATTATGGATGGCTTTACTATCACGTTTGATCAATTTATTGGCTGAATAAAGTGTTAATTTATTTTTTCCAATTAAAAATTATAATAATATTTACTGTAGTTACTGTATTTTTGATTAAATAAATACCTTGGTGAGTACTTTTTTCAAAAACAAAAAAATATCTTAAAGGTGCTGTATGTAAGTTTTTGACTCTACTAAAGCGTAAAAATACCATAATGTGTTTGCAAATATGTAAGAAACATGCTAAGTTAACATACTTGTTTATCTGAAAAACAATGCTACAGTCAGTTATTCTCCTTTGAAAATGCACGTTCCGTGTCGGAATGTCTGTCTGTCTCTGTTTTGGTCTGTGTAACCCACCCACTGCCAGTTTACCCAACTGTATTTCGGCACCCCAGGTTGCCAGTTCGCGGAAAACACAGCGTATTTCATTTCAGTCATGGAAGCTGTCAAGGAAGGTGTGCTCCTTCCTGTTGGTGTCGTCAATCTGGCAACCTGCGTGTGCGTCAAGTCTGAGGAGGAGGGGCCAGGCGAAAAAAACCCTCTCCAATATTTGGAATTTGGATTGCAATACATAGTTCAACCACTCAACCACTCAATCCTACATACAGCACCTTTATTTCTTCCAAACTTTTGACTTGTAGTGTAAATACAATATAAATTATTAATCATCATTTTTTTTTTCCTGTAAAAAAACGTCTAAACACCCTTGAAAGTGCAATGTAATCTCTGCATTGGCATCATTAGATGGACACTTGCCTTCTTAACCTCGTATTTAATGGCCAGTTTGACTCGACTGAGCAGGCAGCGATGATGCTGGCCTTCCTCGAGTTCAGCGGATATATCTCCATTCAAGATGGCCACCACCTCCTCCGTGTCCCTGCACAGATCCAAAACGCCAACCACAAAGTCTTTACACTGCATAGACAACTTCCTGTAGTCATTCTGTAGAGAAGGAGAGAAAGAGCAGAGAAGGTTGGTTTAAACACTGTAAAACAAAAGCTCACAGTCCAAAGGGGTCTTTCAGGTGAAAAGGTTGTCAGGCTTGAACAACCACTGCAACATCTGACTCAAGGGCATCAGACGGAGATGGAGTATTTGTCAGAATCTATCAGACTCCAAACACAACACCGATCAGACCTAATAGTTCTCATGGAAGAAGAATGAATGACATTTTCTGGTGTAGTTTGTCTAGGAGATTCTGCCAAGATTTGCCAATTTTTCAAAGGGGAGTTTGTGATTGTATTGACTGTGATATTTATGGAAGCATGCACTACAATTATTTTTGGTTTTGGCTAAAGCAATGTTCTGTTATGTTCCTAAACAGTAACTTAGTCTTTCAGGTCACTGACTGCTCTCCTGTTTGATATCAAAGCATTATTGACATTACAGAACAAACACTTTCAGCTGGTGAGCAGCAAAACGTTGTGACCCCAAAAATATTTGGACATTTAAAAATGTATTAAAGTCATATCAAATCAAGTATCTGGATCTACATGTGTTAAATGCAGTAGGATCTTTTCTCTTCAGTAATGTCAATATTTTCTTCTTCATGTTTGAAGTGTCAGTGTGTTCAGCTCGTGTTTTGGTATTTTATATATATATATTTTTGGTTATACTTTCATGTAGATCACACAGATGTCCAATCTAAGGAATCACTGGTAGAGAATGACATTAACCATCAAAATGATCCACTAACCAAAAGCAAACACTTGATTTTAACACTTAAAGCTGCAGTCTGTATGTTTTGCCTCTTTGTCGCCATCTCTGTTTGAAAATCTGGAATTGCAGCTGTGTGTGGAATTATCTAGTTTGCGTGGGTTGTGAGTCGGCGCGGCTCCAGCGCGGATGAATCTAATGTTCTGAAGAGTATGTGTGGCAGTCAGTCACCGCACCGGTATGGACATTTACTGTACTTCACAATCACAGATTCTAGCCTACGTCTTGGAATTTTGAACCAAATAAGAATTTTCACCATATATTGTCATCTGAACAAGTAAGTAACAAGTCTGCCATGTTTGTTCTGACCAACTGAGGAAAAAGCATTAACATAAATCTCGCTACCAAAGGTGACTAAATCTAAAGATCGGTTAGCTCATATCACATCAAACTGTTCAAATTATTATTATTGTTATACTTTATTTTCAAATGATTAATGTTAACAACATCAGCATTGGTGACTATGAGTATAGTGTGTATTAGAGTGTAGATTTCAATTTCTGCACAGTCTAATCTAATTGTCATAATCTTCATATTAAGAAATTCTATAGAAATAAGAAATTATTTTAACTCAAAAAGCAAATTATGCTCCCCTCGAACTGGTTTTCTTTAAAATACAAATCTTTGTAATCCCAGGCTATCTGTTATCAGAAGCACATTTATAACTGGAATATAATTTAATTTCATTCACATGTGTTTCATAAACACATAATCCTTTCTGGATTACAATCCGCCATCAAAATTATCCATTTAATTATTCTGGCTGCTGTGAGAAAAGGCTATAAACAATTGGTCACCTGCAGGATCCTCACATGTGATAGCCTAGTAGCCGGGACAGCTTCTTTATGTTTACAGACGTGACGTAATGACGCAGTGCCATGCTCGAATTTCCCGCGAAAACCTACCCGTACAAAACATTATTATAAGCTAACCATTGTGAATCGGGCTAAAGTAAGGTGATAGTTTTGAACACTGGCTGGTTATGTACTTGCTCAAATATTGATTTCGGATCATTTTTAACCAAAAAGTTACGGACTGCAGCTTTAAATAAACAGTTTACCCAAAAATGGAAATTTGCTGAATATCATTTACTCATCAGTTCATCCAAGGTGTAGATCAGTTTGTTTCTTCATGGGAACAGATTTGGAGAAATTTTGCGTTTCATCACTTGTTCATCAATGGATCCTCTGCAGTGAATGGGTGCTGTCAGAATGAGAGTCCAAACAGCTGATTAAAACATCAGAATAATCCACAAGCAATCCACATGACTACAGTCCATCAGTTAATGTCTTGTGAAGTGAAAAGTTATGTGTTTAAATACATGGTCAAGATGTTTTTTAACTACAATTGAGTCCTCTATCCATAATATTATTTTCTCCAGTGGAAAAAGTCCTCTCGTCTGAATCAGGAGAGAAATATGCACAGATAAGGCACAGTATACAAGCCAAAACCAAAAACATTTCTAAACAAATATTTTGGTGGATTTTGATATGAGATGGGCTTTTTCACTGGAGGAATCGTTACTATGGATTATGAACTCATATTTTGCCCAGAGGTAACAGTTAAAACACCTTAAAGGTGCAATAAGCGATTTTTCAAAAATGCTGTTTGGAAGTTACTTGGACTGACATAACAACAAACATCAATCAGCATTAGGGGCCATATGAGGTGGAGGAGAGAAAACAAGCAAGAGGGAGATTTGAAGAATATCACTGGAAATTCCGCTCCATACATGAGTAACACTAGTTTTAAGTGTAATTGATTGTCTGGAGCTGTGCTGTTGGCGACTAACAACAAACTCTTGTTTGTATTTACTAATGTGTACTGTATGCTCATTTTTTTGCTTCCTTGTCATTTGTTCATCATATGCGCTTTATTTTTTGTGAAGCATTATTTTGTTGAGCGTCTGCTATGATAAAGGTATCCACTTTTTAGGCATCCACTCTTGCATTCCGTGTGTAATGGAGGCCAGCTAGTGAGATTTGTGCAGGTAAACCCCTGAACTCAAGAGGTGTGCTGACGACTGCTAGAGAATGTGGTGTTTAGTGTCATTGTTAGTACCATTCATCTCGCATACCGGCGATCAGGATTCAAAACTGACTCGGAGCAGGGCGGTTAGGATGGTAGGGTGTTTTGGAGGCGGAGCAATGAAGAGAGGGGTGTGTTTGTTTAGGTTGATTTCAAATAACAACAATGTCCAGCAATGTTTTTGAAAAAAATTATGATAGATTTGTTTCTTACAAACACACAGCTTTTGACTGCACAAGATGTTAATTGATGGACTGGAGTCATGTGGATTACTTGTGGATTATTGTGATGTTTTTATCAGATATTTGGACTCTCATTCTGATGGCACCCATTCAAGAAACCATTGGTGAGCAAGTGATGCAATGGCAAATCTCTTCGATGAAGAAACAAACTCCACATATTGGTTGACCTGAGGGTGAGTACATTTTTCTGCAAATTTTCATTTTTGGGTAAACTATTTTTTTAGAGCCTAAAAACAACGTTTTGTAAAATGCTTGCTTGTAAAGTATATTTCTTTCCAAAAAACGACACTTGTTTGAAATTTTATATCTAATGATATTCAGACATTTTTATGTGTTACTTAGGTGTCCAAATAATTTTTAGGTCCACTTTAAATATTTTACATCATTAGAAAACTCTTTGGAACAGAAAAGAGTTTACATAATCATAAAATGGATCACAGCATAAAAGAACAGAAAATGGTAAGCTAAAGTCAACATAAAATCAAAACTCACCCTACTACTTCCATAACTGTCACGAATCCGGTCCATGAACTTTCCATTTCATTGACTCTCGCACTACACACTGTTGCACATCACCCCGGACTACATTTCCCATCATGCATTGCACTGATTGCACTCAGCACGAATTGCACACACCTGTTTTCACTGATTGCACCCAGCTGTTTCATATCACTCCCTCACTATTTAACACTCATAACACTGGGCTCGATGTAAAAGACATGGTGCATATTATTTCACACACAAAAAATTAACCTTTCATTAAAATTAATAAATTACATAGTCTCAGAAATTAATTTCCTTTTTAGCTAAAATAATTAAAAATCATCAAGGCTGTTCAACCAATGGTCACAATCAGTGTTTCAAGAGGGAAAACTCTGACGTGCAACAAGCAATTTTCAGTTTATAAATCAATTTTTATATACATAGTCCCACTCTATATTTTTCTCTTTAAATAACCAGTGTTAGGTAAAATGGGTTGTGAATATAATTTCATGTTGACTTTAATGCAGCTTTGAAGAGAAATTAAAAGGTTATTACACACTCAAAGCTCATTTAGTAAAAATTATTCAAGAACAGCATGTTTTGCAAGCGTAAAATGTAAACAAAGAAGTCATGGAGTCTTGACTCTTAACTATTTCCAATAGCAATGAACTGTGTTTTCCAGAACTCTAGAAGATAATCCTGGTTATTGATTCACTTGACATGACTAGCTGTTTCATGATAGTTGGGTTGTTTATGTGAAACATGATTATTGACTGACTTCTTTAATTTTTCTCTTTAAATAACCAGTGTTAGGTAAAATGGGTTGTGAATATAATTTCATGTTGACTTTAATGCAGCTTTGAAGAGAAATTAAAAGGTTATTACACACTCAAAGCTCATTTAGTAAAAATTATTCAAGAACAGCATGTTTTGCAAGCGTAAAATGTAAACAAAGAAGTCATGGAGTCTTGACTCTTAACTATTTCCAATAGCAATGAACTGTGTTTTCCAGAACTCTAGAAGATAATCCTGGTTATTGATTCACTTGACATGACTAGCTGTTTCATGATAGTTATTACTTGTATGTGAAACATGATTATTGACTGACTTCTTTATGACTGAATTATTAAACCATAAATCTTTTACCATGAGGAAAAGTCAACTTCACTTCACTTCACTGGTTAACCTCAGATACATTCGACTCATGATGCCAAATGGTTCTTTTTTTAAAGCATTATTGACAGTTTTGAATAAGCATAATCAAACAGTGTGCAGTCCACCACAGGGTTCACTTGATAGACATAAGGTAGATGTCATATCAGTGTGATCTCCCAGCATGCACTGCTGCTGAGGTTCTGTTTAAAACATTACATGGTGTGTGCTTTATTATTCTCTGTGGGAGAATATTATACCTTCTCACACCACCAGGATGACAACAAACCTCTTATTAGCATGAGAAAAGCAATATTACAGACAATATGTTACATGAGAATCAGACACCATGTCATGACGGCTTTTATTACATGCATGATGGGTGTACAATAGTTGCGTGTGACAATGTGACATTCATTTGCTCAATAAGAGAGAATGCAAAAGTATAGGCTACACCAAGAACGAAAGTAATATTAAGGTTAATCTCAAAAACATTTCCAGGTCATATTTGACTCCAAAATAAAAAAATATATGAAATATATAAAATATTAAATATATAACTAGAAATATATAAAATATTTTTAGATAGAAAGTGGAGTCTGATTTTAGGACCATTAACATTTGTATATATTAAAATGCAAATGCAAAAACGTTATGGTTATACAAAAATTTCACAATTTTCTTTATGCAATTTATATTCTTTTTAATTTTGTTTGAAATATGACAGGATTTGTGAGATTCACACATTTATGCATCATTATATATCTTATCAGTGGTTTTTTCTGCACCAGTGAACTTTGAATACATGAGTTCTGCATCTTAATAAAATACAACAAATGATTAATTCTGAAATAAAAGCTCTTGTACTGGTATAGAGCTTAAGAGAGAGCTCAGTTTATCTGAAGTGAATCTATGGCTCTGCTCCATATTGAACATGTCTCACGGTTATGCTGCTGCTGCAAGAACTGATAATGATTTAGCGATTCGATTGTCCAGACAGACAAGCAGACAGGCCAGCCTTGACATAAGAGCTGAATCAGCAAGCATGACAATTAGTTACTGTTAGTCTGAGTTAGTGAAAATTATGTAGTCAAACATATTTACCAGAAAGAAGCCATTGTGCTGCGATGTCTCTTTATTACGGTTCTTTTTATCCTGTTGACGGCGGCAGCACACACACACACACACACACACACACACACACAGGCAACAGAAGTTAAAAATGTTGTTAAAATGGAGATAAATGTTAGGATAAGTGATGCAAACATAAGATGAACTGATTCTGTGAAAGTCTTGGATGGAGAAGGAAATGTAAAATTTGACATACAACAAAATGTAGATAGCAACTGGCCGCGTTCACACTGCAGTGTTCATTTCGAATAAGACAAAATAAAATGACTCAGTTCAGTAAGGGAGTCAGCTGTGTTCTCAGTAACAGCTTTGAATGATTCAATCTGATTTAAATCACGAACATTTTGTGAATATTTTTTCTGATTCATCAAAACCAACTCACACACACACACACACACACACACACACACACACACAGGCAACAGAAGTTAAAAATGTTGTTAAAATGGAGATAAATGTTAGGATAAGTGATGCAAACATAAGATGAACTGATTCTGTGAAAGTCTTGGATGGAGAAGGAAATTTAAAATTTGACATACAACAAAATGTAGATAGCAACTGGCCGCGTTCACACTGCAGTGTTCATTTCGAATAAGACAAAATAAAATGACTCAGTTCAGTAAGGGAGTCAGCTGTGTTCTCAGTAACAGCTTTGAATGATTCAATCTGATTTAAATCACGAACATTTTGTGAATATTTTTTCTGATTCATCAAAACCAACTCATAAGAGTCGTTTGTTCACAAATCATACATCATGGTTCATGCTTTGTTCTGTGCTGTGTCTTAAAGATGTGATCAACTAATGAAACCTGATAAAATGATAAATTACGCAAAATAATTATTTATAGCAGTGTGAATTCGAAGTGACTCCTATATTATTTTTATTTGCAATGCACTAATAAAGATTACTTTGCTCTTACATTTAAAAGTAGTTGCAGTGTGTACATGGCCAATAAAAACTATTACGCAAAATGTTTAAAGGAAAATAAGTCTGTTGTAGTATCAAAACATTCACTAACACTTTTAAATTAAAAGCGTTTCAAGAAAAAAAAAAAAAAAAACACATGGCGCAAACATAAAAACACAATTACAGTTAAGTCTCACAAGTGAGTTTGAGATCAGTTTGTGAATCTTTTTGACTGACTCATCAAAACCAACTCATAATTTGAGTCATTTGTTCACAAATCGGACATCACGGTTCACGCTGTGTTTGTTGCTCCATCACTTTAAAGATGTGATTAACTAGTGCAATCTGTTAAAATGAATGACAAAACTTGCTTTTTAATGCCCACAGATTTTTTCCACTGTATTTTACATTGTTGCATCAAGTGTGATGGGGGGGTTCACTTAAAAGCTTAAAAGTAAAGGTAGCAAGGTTTTTTTGTGTGTGGGTGTTTTTTTGCTTTTGTTTTTATAATAAATAAAAAGAAAACAAGTAGATAGAATAGAAAAAAGAATAGGGAATGATAGTGTTAGAGGGTCATAAATTTAAATAAAAAGAAAACTAGTAAATAGGACAGAAAAAAGAATAGATAACGCTTGTGTTAGAAGGTCATTATTTATTCTTTAATAGAGAATGCTAGAGTTAAAGGCGCTTTTTCATTTTAAATAAAACTAGTTAGAATAGAAATAGAATAGAGAGTGCAAATGTTAGAGGGTCAAATTTTTTTAAATAAAAAAAACAAGCAGATAAAATTCGAATTAGCATTATAATAGAGAGTACTAGAGTTAGAGGGTCAAATGAAAGAGATGTGTTTTCAGCCGTTTCTTGAAAGTGATTAAGGACTCAGCTGCTTGGATTGAGTTGGGCAGGTCATTCCACCAGGAGGAAAAAAGAATAGGGAATGATAGTGTTAGAGGGTCATAAATTTAAATAAAAAGAAAACTAGTAAATAGGACAGAAAAAAGAATAGATAACGCTTGTGTTAGAAGGTCATTATTTATTCTTTAATAGAGAATGCTAGAGTTAAAGGCGCTTTTTCATTTTAAATAAAACTAGTTAGAATAGAAATAGAATAGAGAGTGCAAATGTTAGAGGGTCAAATTTTTTTTAATAAAAAAACAAGCAGATAAAATTCGAATTAGCATTATAATAGAGAGTGCTAGAGTTAGAGGGTCAAATGAAAGAGATGTGTTTTCAGCCGTTTCTTGAAAATGATTAAGGACTCAGCTGCTTGGATTGAGTTGGGCAGGTCATTCCACCAGGAGGGAACAGTTAATGTAGAAGTATGTGAAAGTTTTATCATAGGTAGAAGAATTCAACATTTTTCAATACAAGCATTTCAGTCAAATGTAATTCATGCAATATTTCAAACCTTTAACCATCTTGGGAAAATCAACCCATATCAACTGTTTAAAAATAGCTAAATTCTGTGGAAATAAATGCGGACTTGGCAACCCTGCATCCAAGAAGAGCTGCCGGAGTCAGATTTGACTGATCACAGGTCGAGAATAAGGAGAAATGACTGACAAGACCGTGCTGGAGTATTTGCTGTTCAACAGATCCTGAACTCATTGACAAATATCTGATCTTGCTCCCTTTACTCAGAGTGCGTGTGATCGCGAAAGTGAAAGTGAACAGCGCGAATGCTCATTCAGGGATTTAAATAATCCACATCCTGAGAGCGGCTCCCTTATGCGGCTAAATTATAGACAATATTAGAATGTTTAAAGGAGTGGACACGAAAATCTCGGAAGCGAAACACATGTTGTGGGAGCAGGCGGCAATGGTCATAGATTCAGCGGGAGCGAGATTAAGAAAACAGCCAAATCACAGACATTTTGAGCAATTAAGAAATCCTGGCTGGACGTATTTTTTTTAGGTCCATAAAGAGGACATGTCCGGGGAAAAGAGGACGTATGGTCACCCTAACTTATAAGAGTTCATGAATTTGATATCACAGTTCCTGCATGTTGGCCTAGCCTATTATTTATATATGCAGTGTAATAGCTAATTTAGTAGATTAATTCACTCATATTTAAAAGTGGTTGTGACTTCCAAAACTCTGCAGTGTGTATGTGGCCAATAAAGAAAAACGATTATGCAAATCAAATGAAAACATTCAAAACAAATAAAAAGCCATTACAGCAAAAACAAAAGTATGTTAATCCAGTCCCTCAGTGGCGGCCATCCTACCTTAAACTCTTTCTCGATGTTGGCGAGTTTGGTGAGCTCATTGCTCAGTTCCAGCGCGTTCAGTACCGGGTCTTCGCTGGACAGAGAGAGATATGCCGGACTGGCCAATCCGCGGTATGCATTTATCCTGGAGCGCGAGTGACTGAACGAGTCCTTCCTCTGCTTTTCCGTGCAGTCCGCGCATTTGCAGAAGTAGTCATGCGGCTGCTCGATCCTGGCGCCCTTCATCAGTAGCATATGCACGACCTCGTATTTCTGGCAGTGGGCAGCCAGGATGATAGGCGTGATATCGGGCGAGAACCGTGTGCCGTCCTCGTCGTAGGAGTAGAAGTCGTCGTCTTGCAGCTCGCAGGGGCTGCGGGTGAGTCGTTCGCCGCCCGCAAAGGAAGGATGTCCCAGCAGGGCTTCCACGATACGCACGTAACCTTTAGAAATCGCCAGCAGGAGTGCATCACCGACACGGGCCAGGTTGTCTCGCCGCAGGAGCAGCTCGGTGACCTCCAGGTGTTCGTTGCCGACGGCCAGCTGTAGCCCGTTCTGTCCCATGTAGTCGACACAGTTCACGTTGAGCGTGGGTGATTCTTCCAGCATCTTCCGGACCACCGGGATGTTACCGTACTCCGCCGCGTCCAGAAAGCGTTCTTCCTCCAGCGTGAGGCTGCTGCCACGGGCGTTGAACATGAACGCTGGTCCGCGAACCGCCTGTCGTCGGCCCTTTTCTCGCGGTAGGGTCATCCTGCGATGGGGGAAACTATCCGAAGATTTCCTGCAATTGAAAGAGAAGTAGGCTTTTTACCTTGTGAACATTAATCAAGCTCATTCAAGTGGAAGTGACTTTCTCTGCATGTGGCTGCTTGAATATATCTCACGCCTTTGACATAGCCAACAAGTTGACTTTCTCACTGAGAGCTGACAAGTGGTGTAGCTATCATCAGGGATGTGATCCCACTGGGACAGAAAGCAGAAGGTGATTCGGGCCAGACGGTCCTACTGAAGGCGAGATCGCCCTCTGGCTTTTAATAGCTTTTTAATGAAATGCAACAGATGCCACAATCACACAACAGGTGAGTGTCTTAATGGAGTGACGTCTGTGCTCAAATCGAGCTGACTCATGTTTAGCGAGCACTTGAGGTGAAGAGAATATACAATAGAAACAGTCAGTGAGCCTGAATGGAGTTCATTTCCCTCATTTGGATGGGTAATACTTTTAAGAATTTTAATAATATTGGGCCTTGTAGCTAGTTTACAAACTCCTGACATCTTCAGACATCATGGCATTGGCACTCATTCAAAAGATGCTCATATTAAAGTTACCACTATATTCCTCTCCACACACTCTACAATACAAAGAATCATACAAAAACATCAAAACATTTTGGGGAATTGACCGTTAGCAAAGAGCTTGATTGACAGGCGATCTGACCAGTCAGAACGCGGATATATGTGCCACCGCTGCTATCCGCCATCTTGCCCGACAGCTATGGCTGGTCTCCATAGAGATCCATGTTTAAAGGGGGTAAAAAAAGATTGACCGAATTGAAACTTTTTCAATGTAGCTAAACTTTAACCCGGAACTAATCAAGCCGTTTGTGCCAGGCTGGGGAGAAAGGTATTGTAATAATGTAAATTATGTGAAAAATAATGCGTTTTTCGAACCACCAAGCATGAGAGCATGTTCTAGTACACCCCCAAAACAAAATCAAGACTTTGTAAAGGAACATAATAGGACCCCTTTAAACTTGAAAAATGGTGTGTTCCGTGGTTTAAATAAAATACTTTCTAATGTTTATTCATATTCATTTCGTGCTTTACGTAAAAATGAAAAGACGATCGGTTCACGTGTTTGAACTGAGGCAATAGTGATCTGTCACGACACATTAAAGAGCCACAAAACGGTATTTATTATTTGAATTTCTTTAAAAATTACACAATTTAAAAGCTGAGAGTCCTGAGACCTTGTTTTATACCAGAAGTAACCTGCTCTGTCTTCTCTGTTGGTGTGTTGTCAGTTTCCTCTTTGCTCAGCGATGTATTTTTCACAGCGTGAGAACATGAAGTAGTGTGTAAGCAAAGCCAATAGAAGGCAAGCCTGCAACCATTAGCCGAAAAAGCGTAACAGCTTAAGCTAACGCTTCCGTGGGAAAGGAGACCAGAGGCCTTTTTTTTTTTTGAATGGATGTCAATGGAGAAGAGGCTTCACTACGCTCAATAAACAGCCTTTTAGAGGAAACAGCTTATCATTTAATGAATCGACAGCCTATCTGCTAAACTTCAACATGTTTTACACTAATGCCTAGTTCACACTACAGGATTTTAAGCCCGATTTAAACCCGATTTGCAAGCTCGCCGATAGGTCGGGCTGTGATCGGGGGAAATCAGCGGGTGATCGGCGCTCGGCAATCTTTATGTGTGAACAACACAACGATCCATCAAAGAGGCTCGGTGACGCGTCACCGACGGCAAACAAATATCTAGCATACCAAATATCTGGACCGGTCGGTTCCTGACATCCATTTTCAAATAAACAACTCCTGTTTCATGTGTTGTTTCGCGTCATTCCCGTTCCAATTCTCACGTGTGTTTTCGTGAGTCGTGACAAAACATGGTTTGTAGAGTTGTTGGGTGACAGAGTTGTTGTCAGCTTCTGTAGTGTGTAACCCCCGGTTGCGGATCATTTACATAGAGTCACGTAGTGTGACCACCTCAATGACTTAAAGACAGACAATCAAGCCATGTAGTCTGAACAGCACAGCGGTAAGCCGACGTTTAAAATAGTGTAGTGTGAACTTAGCATAAACTATACTTTTGGATTGAACTATTTTTAGAGTTTACCACGAAAATGTTTTATAAGAGAAGTCACTGACTTTTTGTGACAGGTGGAATTCAGCTTAAGGCACTTCTCATTCATTCCTATGGTATCTGTAAACGACAATTGAGTGTCGCACAACTCTGATTGAAATTCAATGACGTCAAGGCTGTAATGTGATTGGTTATTAAGGGACGTGATCCAAGTTAGCCATTACGCTTTCTCCAATAGTAAGTAATACAGACCCTCTCTTATAGTAAGACAATCTCTGGTGTGAGAGCGGCATTGTTTGTCGGGATGGCAATAGTAACTAAGGAGGGCGGGTCTTTGCGAACGGTCAGTTGGTTGAGAATTTGGCACTGGAACTTTGTCCTAATTGCAAAACTTATTCTGAGAGGATTTTCTCACTTTCTGACCAATGATTTTCCTGATTTTCCATTACTTTCTTTTTTTTAAACAGTCATTCGTGATTAGTGATTTTTTTTATTTTTATAATTTTATAGAAACTGCACTCACAGAGAGCAATTTCTGGTCAAATACTTGAGAGCAAAGCATAGCTGGAAAATGTTAATACAAATTTAACACATTCAAGATTATATATGAAAATATGAATTTAAAAAGGATATTTTACACATATTAGTATATTTTACACATTTATCTTAATTATAAATATCTTAATTTGTATTCCAAAGATGAACGAAGGTCTTACAGGGTTGGAATGACATGAGGGTGAGTAATTAATCAAAGAGTTGTAATTTTTGGGTGAACTATCCCTTTAAACTCCCTTGTATTAAAATCCACCAACACTGTTTACTGAGCGATATTCATGCTGTATTAAATTAAACAAACTGTTGACTGACACCCAAACTCATCTGCTTTAATACAATATAACCCTTAATGAAAAACAGTGTCAGCAAAAGTCATAAACACATGAAAATAGAATCAGAAATGAAAACCCACAGGCAAATTCAATTGTATTATTGTGTACTCTTATAAAAACAACTCATTCAAGACATCAAAGGACTTCAGCACAAACCTTATTTACTACATGCATTACCAGGTGATAATGTAGGGTGAGAGTAAATGAACACAGAATAAGTTTGTTTAATTTAAAGGCTGAATTTATAGTCTGAAGCGAGATGGACCCGGTCTCTACTGCAGGATTTACTTGAGCGGGGAAATTCATTTCCCACAGCCAAGGTCCCTGGAGCTTCAGACGCCCACATCACCAGAGGCCAGAAAGAAGGGGAAGCATTCAACTCGAAACTCTCCATGCAGACAATTCTACCATGCCAATTCAATAAACGCAAAGGGTAACACTTTACTTGAAGGGGTGTGCATAAGACTGACATGACACCTTCATAATCATGACATGACACATGTTATGAATATGAAGGAGGTTTTATGCATGTTTATAAGTGTCATTCGCTCAGTTATGTAATTTTTAATGCAAATATGACATTATTTGACCTAACCCTAACCTAACCCAACCCCTACCCTTACCTCTAACCATAGCCCATAACAAAGACATCTCAAACAATGTCATCTTTGCATTAAAAATTACATAACTGAGCGAATGACACTTAATGACAGTTGTCATAAACATGCATAAAACCTCCTTCATATTCATAACATGTGTCATGTCATGATTATGAAGGTGTCATGTCAGTCTTATGCACACCCTTTCAAGTAAAGTGTAACCTCATAAAGAGCTCGGCCTCCACTAAAACCCCTCGACTAGCAAACACATAACATGACTTGAATCTTGAAGGTATTAATTAATAAGTTTAAACTTCCTACTGCATATGTAGTAACCAAAAATGTGAAACTCTCTTATATTTTAGCTTTTACGAGATTTTACAGGATTTGCAAGATTTACATTACATTTTATTGATTTGACAGATGCTTTTATCCTGAATTAAACTTATTTATTTCACCTGTATTCTATGAGAATCAAACTCACCTGATTTACTTTTTTTACATGAGTTAAACTTTCTTTTTTTTTTTTACCAAATCAAATAATTATTATTTATTTTGTTATTTTAATGTTTAACAGTGGACATATCATGTGAAAAACCTTTTAATGAATTAGGGCAAGATTTAATAACAGATTGCGCCAGCGCAACCCGTCTTTTGGCATTAAAATACTACTGTCTAAAGACACGCAGTGAAGAATTAGCACTGAAAAGGCATGGACACAATTATTTTTGTGACTCACCTTATTGAATATGCATTTGTAGGAGCTTCCCTTTCAGATGCAAAATTTATGGGAGGAGAGTATTAAAATGAATCACGCAACACAATTTACTAACGTTTGCGCTCGTCAAATTACTGGAATAAATTGTGCCATTATTTAACGCCCAAAAAAGCATGTCTTCAAGGGTTAGTTCACCCAAAAATGAAAATTAGCCCATGTTTTACACCCTCAAGGCATCTTTGGTGTATATGACTTTCTTCTTTCAGACGAATCCAATCAGAATCCAATCAGAGTTATATTAAAAATTCTTCCAAGCTTTATAATGGCGTGGGCGGGTGTTTTTGTTCAACAGTCCAAAAGTAGTCAAATAAAGCGCATCTATCCATAATAAAACGTTCCTCACATGGCTCCAGGGGGTGAATAAAGTCCTCCTGTAGCAAATTGATGCAGTTTTGTAAAAAAAATATCCATATTTAAAATGATATAAACAGTTTTGTGTAACTTCCACTAACTGTCGTACGCGAAAGACTGCCTTTCCGGCGGATGCCGCTGGACATACGTGTAGCGCATGCGTGTGTGAGTCTCGCGAAAAACAATGTTTGTTTACAGGAGCAAAGGAAGCAAAGTTTCCTTACTTTACCACAGGAAAAGCAGTCTCCTTTTGGCTTATTGTAACGGGGCGACTGAGACGAGAGACATGCGGATCCATACGCATAGCTTTATTCAGAGACATGGTCAAATCACAGGCAAGGTCGAACATCAGCAAACAGGTATGGTACAGACGAGACACAAGAGTGATCCTAAAAAAGGCGTGGGTTGATCGACTGCGAACTTAATCCTGAGGGCGATGCGAACGGGGAATCCAGAAACAGAAGATAGTCCAGGTGAGGTGCAAACACGAACCGAAACAGCAGGCAAAGGGTAAATCCAAGACAAGCTATAAGCTACAGGGCAGGCAGATATCAGACAGAACGAGGTAAACCGGGCTAGAATCAAGACTCAGGTAAAACAGGTAATAAACAGGACAGACTAGACTTGAACTCAGGAAACACGGAATGGCTCTGTAAAGTCGCTATCGCTAGAAGAGTGATAAACGCAGACAATACTCAGCAATCTGAAAGAGGAAGTCCAAGGCTTATAAAGCGTGTCTCATTGGATGCAGCTGTGTGTGTGTAATCAGTGCAATGGATGATAGGAACTGTAGTCCAGAGTGACATGTAACAGTCTGTGTAGTGTGAGAGTCAATGTAATGGAAGAGCGATCTCTGGTGGCGAGCGACTGGAAGTCCATGGACAGGATTCGTGACACTTAAATTGAAATCCTCTGACCTTTTTGTTTACAAATCCTCATTTTGTGATTTTACTTCGTGACCGGCTTTTTGTTTTGCTCTCTCCTCCGCACTTCCACGTTCGTCACTAATCACCGGCGCTTACGTCCTACGTCATCCGCCAGAATGGTTCTGCATTCGACAGTTAGCGAGAAAGGTGTTTATATTGTTTTAACTAACCCTTTAAAGCAGACGGTAATTTGCGCTGCTCTTGGTAGATTGCACTGGTCATTATGGAAATGATCTGGCTGCATCTGTGTTCTTTAATGTACGCATTGTTAGTAAATCACCCACAGAATTTCCCCCTCCCATTTGCGCTTTTATGGAATTGTGCTCTAACGTTAATTTGCCCTGTTTAGCAAATCTGGCCCTTAGTTTTGTAAAGAAATTCATATTGTCAACAAAACTAATTTCAGCATTAATATAATTACGTTTTTCAAAATATAACCCAGCTACCAATTTTTGGGTTCCAAGGACATTCTGAGAACATTAGTTTATGGTTCCCTGAATGTTCCCAGAACATGCACTTTTTAAGGTTTGTATTTGGTTGGCCAGATATTTATAGAATTGGTTATTTCTTTATGGAAGGTTTACAGAACTTCAGGGGAATGTTTGGTGTTCTCAACAATTCTCAAAAAGGTATCAGTTGAAATGGTCAAATATTGGCTAATTCCCTAAGTCCTGTTTGATATATTATTCTCTAACTAATATCATATAGAATGAACTGTATTGAGGATTTTCATTCAATCGCAACTTTTAATTTCAAAGCAGAGCTCATACAAATGTTATGCTATTCTTTATGATAATGCTGGTGTAAAAGGTTAGCCGTGTTAAAAAATTAATTTGACCAAAGCAATCAGAAATTCCTTGTTAAGTCAAAACACA